CATAGCCATTATGCTAACTGCTGGTCCCAAGGGGTTAATTCTGCTCTAATAAAACTCAGGTTTTTGAGTGGCCAGCAGGTGGCATGGTGGTTAAGGCTCTGGATTCCCAATGGCCAATCAGTTCATGTCCTGGACCTATTGGCTTGAAAATCACGCCAGGTGTGTGTGCGTGCATGCCCAAAATCCTAGGAGGAGAATGGAGAGGGAATGGTGGCATGGCCATCCCCTCTAGGGGGGTGATTTCTTGCTTTCCCTTTTTCTGTCTCTCTCAGCAAAAATCTAAAAAAATGAAACCTAAAAATGAAGCAAAACCTAACCCCGCCCCAAACCCCCCAATGCCTTTCCACTGCCCTTAGAGCCGAACCTTAACCCAGCTGTGATATGTCCATGTGAGCGGGCCCTGCTGTGGGATCTTGGGCACGCACGCACACCGCCCGGTGTGAGTTCTAAGCCACCAGGTCCGGGATGCGAACCACAGTCAACTACATGGGAGTTCGGCGACATAGCCATTACGCTAAGTGCTGGTCCCTCTCATTGCATTTTTAATTTTCTGAGCTACACAAGTGTATTTATTAGATTTCTCCTTTACTGTGTTTGTCTTACTCTATTAAAATGGGGCTAGCAGCAGGCAAGGAGATTGACTCCTGGTTCTTAGCACCTAGTCCGGTACCTAAGACAAAGTGGGGCTCAAGAAATATTTTAAAATATGTATATTTCTCAGGGCCAGCAGGTGGCATGGTTGAGGTGCTGGATTCCCACGTGGGAGACCACGGTTTGAATTCTGGACCAAGTGACTTGAAAATCACACCGGGTACCTGTGCATGTGTGCCCAAAATCCCAAGAGGAGAGTGGAGGAGAAGGGAGCGCTGTGTGGCCATCCTCTGCTGGGTGATTTCTCACTTTCCCTCTCACTGTTGCAAATGCCCTACGGCAAAAATTATATATCTATATATATAGTTCGTCAGGAAAGTCATGATATATTTTTGCATAGAAAAGCATAGAAAAATATGTCAAGACTTTCTCAAAGACCTAATATATTTCTCAAACCATTTTTTTTCTGTATTCATGATAAAGCACGGGAGGTAGAGAGGAGGTCTGGTCACGCCATGGCCTCTTCTCTACAGTCCTTCAGTCTACCGCCTCCTGAGCGCTCACACGTGCCCAGTGCCTTTCTGGCTGACCAGGCCACTGTGTGGGGCCTGCTTCTCGTGGGCAGCCTATTTCCACTGCACCTGGAGCCCAATAACTGCTTCTTAAGCTAACTACACGCATCCAACGTGAGTCAGCCATTTGACTGGGAAGTAAAATTCCGCAGGGCCTCAGCTCTAGGGTGAGAACCTCCAGTTAGGACCCTGCCGAGCTCCCTCCTTCCCGGGAGCCCCATCCTCTTACTGACTCTGGACTAGAGACCTTGGGAATTTAGCTGTGCTGAGTCCCTTGGAAACCGCAGAGGCAATCCACTAACAAGTGAGGACTTTAGAGGCCAGCAGGTGGCCTAGAGGTTAAGACGGCTGGATCCCATATGGCTGACTACATGATTCGAGCCTGGGCCTTGCGACTCAACAAAAAGTTGGACACGTGTGCGTGCGTGCCCAAAATGCTAATGGGGGAACAGAGAAGGGATGGCAGCATGGCCGTTCCCTCTGGGCAGTGATTTCTCACTTTCCCCCTCTCTCTGTCTCTCTCCAGTGAACACGTATAAAAAGAAAAGCAATGGGGACCTCCGGTGAGACACGAGCTTTCTCCTGGTCCAAACTGTGAGAGGCTGACAACAGGACCCGGCAGGCGGAGGCAGGGTAGCAAGGAGGGAGAGATACCTTTACAGGTGAATCAGGTGCCCTGCTCCGCCCAACGGTGCACACCCCTCGGCCCGCCTCATTTCAGAGCTTTTCCAAATAGCAACCAACAGCACGCCAGTCTTGCGTCTCTCTGAGGCCCCCCCAGTGCCTGAGGCCTCACTGGAGCCTCCACCTGGGAGTCTGCCTGCCTGCCTCCCTCCTGGCTAGGAGGTGCCAAAGGTGGTGGTGAGGTCAGCGTGTCTACAGAGGACTGGGCACAGGGCTGAGGGAATGCAAGGCTCTGGGCCTTCCCTGACTCACCCCCACCACCACCACCACTAGTTAAGAGCTCTTCCCTCAGGCCTGTGCCCTGACTTGGACCCTGACCTTGGCCCCCAGGGGAAGGGCAGGACCTGATAGAGGGAGAACCTCAGAGCTCAGAGCTCAGCTCAGGAAGGGCCCTCCAGCCTTCCCTCACTCACCTGCCTGGCCACTGGGATCCTGTGCCTTCCGCCAAAGCTGCTTTTCTGCAAGATTTCCACTCTCGGCTTGCAGAGCCTAACAAAGCCTCGAAAGGGCCGCGGGCGGCAGACAGCTTATCAAGATGAACGCCTTTGCCCCGTCCCGACTGTCACCTCAGAGGACAAAGCAGAGCAGCTGCGCAGGTGTACATCCCTGCAGAGCACACGCACGCACATGCGAGGTCACGCACTCGATCCGTGTCGGAAACCATCTTTTACCTCCTGGCCCTCGTGCCGCTCTGGCACCTGGCCCTCTGCTGTGATGAGCAGCCCAGGACTGTTTGGACGGTGGAGGCCGAGGGCTGGGAGGGCTGGTCTCGCCTCACACGGGCTGGGGACCCTGGGGTCACACGGTGCCCTGCTGTGAGGCGGGCCAGAGCTGTGCACACCTGCTTGCTCTGCTGCACCGGGAGTGGGCTGGCTACCCATGAGCTTGTGGAAGCCGGCAGCGTCCACGTGGGGTCCCCTGAAGCCCTCGGCAACCAGAGGGTACTGGGTGTGGGGATGTGGAGTGTGCAGGGCAGGGCCCTCTCCAGGGGGTCACAAGGGACCTGACTGGGCCTAGAGAAAACTCGGGGAGCAGGCCTGTCCTCACGGCGGTGACCTCTGGTGGAGTTTGTAAGGGAGGGGAGGCTTCCCCGGGGCAGGAATG